AAAGAAGGAGGTACCTTTCTCTGAAGGGAGGAGAGAACCTCCACTTTGACTATGACCTTGTCTAAACAAGATAAGAGTCAGAGAACTCAAGGGGCTTCCATAGCCTTGGAAACTCATGACTGGTGCATAGGGAGATTGCTGATGCCATAAACAGGAGTGTCAATTTGTAAAGTCAACAATAGGAGTCACTGTACTTACTCCTCATGTAGGATCTCTGTCCTTAATGTGCTGTACATTGAGGCTTAGTGCTATAACGAGTACTCAAACAGTATATTTCACTTTGTGTTTCTATGGGGTGCAAACTGTTGAAATCTTTACTTAATGTATACTAAACTGATCTTCTGTTAAAAAAAAAGAAGAAATTATCAATTCCCAACTTGACTCTCACTGGGATTAAACATGACAATAGGTCTGATCTGATTTCATCATCATTTAAAAAAAAATCATCTATTATTTTTCACTTTATGCTTCTGTGTGGGAGCAAACTGTTGAAATCTTTACTTAACGTATGCTAAACTGATCTTCTGTATAAAAAGAGCATCAAAAATGAATCTTGATGTGAATGGAAGGGGAGAGGGAGTGGGAAAGGGGAGGGTTGCAGGTAGGAGGGACGTTGCGGGGGGGAAGCCATTGTAATCCATAAGTCGTACTTTGGAAATTTATATTCATTAAATAAAAGTTAAAAAAAAAGAAAGAGAGCTAATCTTAATAATTGAGAGAACTTCAAAAAATTAAAGAATTAAAGGAGAGTGTAGATCGTGAAAAATAAAACTATGCATGCATTTCTACATATTTGCACCAAAATAAATTTGTCTTTGATTTCTATTTTTCAAAAAAAAAAGTGTTTGAGGTACCCTTGTTTTTATAGAAAAAGAATACCATCATCATTTTGATTCAACATTCTGCTTATAGACAACACACACAAGCAGAATAGCATATGTTACATATTATTCTCAAACACCAAGTGAAATCATCAGTGACCATATCAGAAAATAATTGTGCTTTACCTCACAACTGTCAATTAAATGTTTTACTCTAGCAATAACTACAGTAACCAGCTATATGTAACTATTATAACTTCAACTTGCTTAACTAAATCAAATATCAAACTATGACTCTTCAAACAGGATTTTAAGTATCCCTACATATACCATATGACATATGTTTTAGGGAAGCCAAAAAAGAAATCATATAATATGTATTTTGATGAAGTTACCTATTTGATAAAATATTGTGAGATGGGCAAGTGAGAGAGGACTGTGAAGTAAGTCATTTTTGTAACTACAATGAGGATTGCAAAAGTTGTGAAGAGTAATGAACTCAAGATGTATCACATGAAATTAATGATTAAACTTGGACTTAAAGAATAGATGAAGCTTTTACTTGGGAAAGAAAACATTCAAAAGTTAAAAAATTAAGGGAGGGCATGTTGGTTAAGCCACTGCTTGAGATTCCTGCAATGCATAAAGGGTTACCTAGGTTCTGTCTCACTTCTGCTTCTGATCCAGCTTCCTGATAGTGTTCACTCTGTAAGGCAGATGATGGCTCAAGCACTTGGTTCTTTGTCACCCATGTGGGAAAACTAGATGGAATTTCAGGCCTTTATCCTCGTTTGGGATATTTGGGTAGTGAACCAGTGGATTGAAGATGGATCTCTCTCTCTCTTTCTCTATTTCCTTCCTCACCTCATCCCTCCCTAGCTCACTCACTCTCTCTCTTCCCTTTTAAATATTTTTTAAAAATTTTAAAAAATCCAAAATATCCTGTATATAGGAATAATGTTTATGTTGAGAGAAGAGATGGGTTGCTGTGTAATCCCTCAAATAATGAAGTTGAAATATAGCATAGAAAAATGGTGACTAAATACCAAGGAATAAATTTATAAAGTCTTAGATGCCAAACAACAAAGTTTTTATGTCTTCAGAAGAAAAGTGCTAGGGTATAAGCATATTTAGGAAACAATATTTTTAGTAGTTTAATATAAATTCACCTAAGGGTATATTATTATATGGTTTGCAGAATCACCACAGCATAGATAATCAGGGTGGTGAAGAAAAAGAACTGAAGGGGTGAAATCCCAAGAGTGCTAAACAACTAAATGAATAGAAAGAGAATAAAGGGATGAATTATGGCCAGACATCTAACTTTCAGTAATGAATAAGTGTGTACCAATGAATTACGTGGATATGACTGAATAAAAGTATAAAACCAATTTTGGCAGCAAATACCTTGATTTTCACTTTTGTTAATGAGCAGCTTGAATTGAACACAAGATAGGCATCACAATAAAATCAAGTATCCCGTATGAACAGGAGAAGGAAAACTGGGGTATTTCAGCCAAAATTGGGAAAGTCATTGAAAGTTTCTTAGAATTTAGTGTAGAGCAAAAATTTACTGATAATCAAATTTGAGAAATAGAGAAAGAAATGGAGGAGAAAGAATATATGAAACAGTATTGCATGGCGGAACATCCCATGAAAGTAGATTTCAAAAAGTAGAACATTGGGAAGTAAGGCAATCAGCTTTAATTTAATGTAGCACAATTTTTCTTACATCACACTTCAAATGATTTTAACTGGTATTTGCCAAGTAATCTTTTTCATCATGGGACCACTAGCAGAAGAGGAGAAAGTGGGCAAGAGAATGATGCTTAAACAATCACAAAACCAAAAATCAGAATTCCCAGTCAACCTTCTGATGACTGTATTCTTAAAAATGGAAAAAATTTAATCAAGTTAGGGTCACTTCTGCTTTCCAGACCTACCTTAAATTGGTGACCAATTTACTGATATCCAGCAGTGAGTCAAGATGTGGTACTTGTTTGGAACTGCATTTTAAAGTGTGCACAGTCATTATTGGGTTTAAATCTGAACTACAGTGTACTGCATATGTTTTATAAACTTCAAACCCATCAGTAATTAAACAGAGAATCAAAGAAAAAGTACGAGGCGGAACTGCCATTAGTGGGAACATCTGGACTATAAGCAACTGAGCAAGTCTCCTGAAAGCCATGGAAAAGGCCAGATTAGTTTTAAAGACTAGCAAGGAAGACTGTGTTCTTGCATTCACATTTGCTGGATTTGGCTCACCAGAGTTCTAATCTCAGGCAAACAGCTTGCTGCATCTTTGCTTAATACCTTCTGGGTAGAAACTAATTTTACTGTTGATTAGTTAGGTGCATTTTGGGGCTTGTACCACTAAACTTAAAGGGACAGAGTCCAGCTGTCACCTTTGTTTTTTGCTTTTCATTTTACCAACCATTTAATACTCAGGTATATGTTGATATATGTACATAAAGAAATAATTATAAACTTTCCAAATAAAATATAATTATAGCTTTTCATGAATATCTATTTACTTCAATGGAAATAAAATAAAGAGCAAGACCTCTAAGATTCTAAGTTTGAAATGACACAGCACTAAAGTTCAGCCTGTCCTGTTTTACCCAGTTACTAGATTTCTGTAGATGCCAATCCTCATAACTCTTTCCAAGCAAGCAGATATGCTGCCTCGTCTCTCTTTCACTTTGTTTTTGCTACTTCTTTTTGAGCTTGAATTTCTCTAACTTATAAATACATCTCTAACACAGACTGTTGTTAAACATTCACTTAACAATGCATGATGTCCTTATGCAACACAATTCCTAATTGTAAGATCTGTTGCTGTTCATTGAAGTTTCAGAATGTTTATTTCAGAAACCATGAAAAAAAGATGAAATGTCACACCATGTGTCAACTATAGAAAAAAAATGAAGTGACATTACCAAATTCATTTTTATATCATCACATCTTTCCCTATTCAAACAAGAAAAGAGGAAAAAAAATCCTAACAAACTGACAAAGTAGTTTAAATTTATCAAATCCTTCCCACACTGGTCATGCCTCCTTTTAATATTTTCAACTAGTTTATAATCTCAAAACTATGTTAAGGTGCTTCACTACAAAGACTGCCTTTCAACACTTTCTATAGCTCAGCCTGCAAAGCAGAGTTGGGATTACATAATGTATGTTAGACAGACATTTTCAGATTTAATATGATTTAATTTTTTTTTGACAGGCAGAGTTAGACAGTGAGAGAGAGAGAGAGAGAGAAACAGAGAGAAAGGTATTCCCTTTTTCCGTTGGTTCACCTCCCCAAGTGGCTGCTACAGCTGGCGTGCTGCAGCCTGTGCACATCACTGTTCTGAAGCCAGTAGCCAGGTGCTTCCTCCTGGTCTCCCATGACGGTGCAGGACCCAAGGACTTGGGCCATCCTCCACTGCCCTCCCGGGCCACAGCAAAGAGCTGGACTGGAAGAGGAGCGACCAGGACAGAATCCGGTGCCCCAACCGGGACTAGAACCCGGTGTGCTGGCGCCGCAGGCAGAGGATTTGCCTATTGAGGCGTGGCGCTGGCCTAATATGATTTAAATTTAAAAATGCATAATGATTTAGAAAGGCATGTTATTTTACATAGCCAAAATAACAAACAATAAATAAATGAATAAAGCTCTGATAATTTGATTTTTATATTTATTCTGTTTTAAAGATTTACTTATTTGAAAGACAGAGTGACAAAACTGGAGGCAAAGATATATAGAGAGAAATCTGCCCCACGCTGGTTCACTGGCCAAGTGGCCACAATAGCCAGGTCTGGGCTAGGCCAAAGCTAGGAGCCAGAAACTCCATTCAGATATCCCATGGACGTATTTGGATCATCCTCTGCTGCATTCCCAAGGATATTGGTAGCTAACTGGATTGTAAGCAAAGCACCCAGGACTCAAACTGGCACTCTGATAAGCAGCAGTGTTGTAAGCCACAGCTTAACCCACAGCACCACAGTGCCAGCACATATTGTTTATTTTTATTCAAATTAGGCTTTTAATAAAACTCCTGCTCTGTAAATACTAAAACTGATGTCATCAGTCCTGAAATGTAGAGCCTGTGTCTTTAAGAGTAAGTCAATAAATTACAACTATTTTGAACCAACTCAAATAATAATTAACTCACCCTGGTCAATGTACTTTGGTGTGCCTCAGAGGCCCTCAAAGGCAGGATCAGGAATTTCTGGATTGTATGGTAAGTCTATGCTTAATATGTTGAGAAATTGTTATATCATTTTCCATAGCAGCTGTATCACTTTACATTTCCACCATCTATGCAGTGCCCCAATTTCCTTATGCATTGCTTTTAAATAAGTTTTCTTTTTAAATTGGTGTACATTATTCATTTACAAAAGAACATGAAATGTAAATAGATAATCATTTTCTTAAAATTAACATTATTGTAATCAGCATGCAGATAAATAAAGTGGATATTCCAATTCTGTAATTTAGAGCTCCTCCTGGTTACTTTTACCTGTGCATGTTTTCTTTTGGTAAAACATGTTTGTGGGGCCGTCACTGTGGGGTGGTGGGTAAAGCTGCCATCTGCAGTACTGGCACCCCATATGGGCGCTGGTTGGAGTCCTGGCTGCTCCACTTCTGATCTGGCTCTCTTCTATGGCCTGGGAAAGCAATGGAAGATAGCCCAAGTCCCTGGGCCCCTGCACTCCCATGGGAGACCTGGAAGAAGCTCCTGGCTCCTGGCTCCTGAGTCCTGGCTTTGGATTGGCCTACCTCTGGCCATTGTGGCCAATTGGGGAGTGAACCCTTGGATGGAGGTCCTCTCTCCCTCGCTGCCTCCCCTTCTCTCTGTGTGTAACTCTGACTTTCAAATAAATAAATAAATCTTAAAAAAAACTTGTGATAGTTAGAAATTAATTTATTTTTTAGGATGTAGTAATAGATTTTAAATTTCCATTATTACATACATAATGTATATTATATATGACCATATACAAGCATATAAAATTATATATATACTAATAATGTTATGACTATACCAAAGTATGTGTACTTGTTCTAGTGTTTATAAACATTTGAGTTATTTCTACTGTATGGTTGTATGAACGTTTCTCCCTTGGTGGACATATAAATGATTTTCTGTTGTATCTATAGGAGCACAATTGTTGGTTAATAGGCTAGACAAATGTTAAGCATTATAAATGCTTTGAGTTTTCAAAATATTTGTGCTTCTTTTTTTCCTACCAGAATATATGTGAGTGTTTCAGTTCTAGATCCTTGATAATATTTGGTATTTTTTGTAATTTTTTGCTTTAAATTTAGTTTTCCTAAATAACAAATAAATCTGGAATATTTCAAGATATATTTGGATAACTGAAAGTTCTCACTCTTGAGCACACATTCAAGTCAATTACTCATTATCCAGTTTAATATATTTTCTAGAATTTTTTCCTGGATATGAGTCTTGTGTTAAATATGTCTATACCAAGTGTCTTGTACTTCCATGGTTTGAATTTTCCCATTCTAAACTGTCTTTTGAAGAACAGGTGCTCTTCATCTTAGTGTAGTATATAATATGAATTTCCTCCTTTACAATATCCTGTCCTATTTAAGAAGTATTCTCTTATAAGAGATCTGTTGGTAGATTTCTACATTTTCTCTCAGAAAAAAATGTCTCTCTCTGTGTGTATATGCCTCTGACATTTATGATTTATTATTTACATATGTTGTAAATGTTGAGGTAAAGAGTTAAATGCAATTATCTCCACTATGATCTAACAAAGTATACTGGTAAAATCTTTTTCTCAATGTTGCTGTAGTATCTAATAACTGAGAATAATATATATGTGTAACTCCATTTATAGGGTCTATATTTTTTCTGTAAGCCAACGTATTGATCCCTGAAAAATGTCACATTCTTTTAATTATTATAACTTTTTATTGTGTCAAGATCAAATAGAAATCCAAAATAATTCTAATTATACATTATGTTATCAATAGCTTATCATAATCACTTATATATCTTTTAGAGTTAGCTTATAAATTTTCACAAAAAGAAGGAATAAATTAAAACTTTGGAATGAAAATGAAATTGTATTAATCTACAGTACAATTTAACATGTACTTTCTAGATTCTTAGGTTTTGGTACATATCAATTGCATCATCAAGTGCTGTATTTAAATATCCATATTCCTACAACTTCTATAAACAGCAAAATATTTTTGTGTGTATCTACTGTATTTTATCCACCCACTATAATAGTTTCCTTAATTTGACTTTAAATCTGAGATATGTTTAGTAGCACTCCAATAAATATCTCCATATATACAATTTTAAAACAAAATGAAATTTTTCTTTACATCTCCACCTAGATATACCATTATGATAACACAATGTATACATAGCCTTAATTTTTTGCAAGAGGTTCCAACCTGGGATTATTACATCCAAATACAATGGCACAAGAAAAATATGCTTTAAAGTCATTCCTTTTCTCTGCTGAGACATGAAATTAATTGTAACCTGCTTTTAGTCTAATAGAAAGAATGTGGTTAGGATGGTTTGTTTAGTATTTCTTTTAAGATTATTACTAATAAATGTTAATCCAATTTTTTGTTTGGAATTCTTTATCCCCCAGACTGCATATTTATATAATTCACCTAAAACCTAATACCTTATTCTCTTTTTCTGCATTTTGTAGAAATTTCTAATATAGGCTGCATATTATTCCTGCATCAACAATAAACATTGGAAATATTTTTATATGTCACTGATGAAAATGATAAATGTCTTTCAATAATGTGTGCCACTCTAATCACTTAAAAATCTTGATTATTCAAGCCCAGTAACCACAAGTTCATTTTGCCTTTGCCTTCATTCCAGCTTTATAAATATTTGATCATTCAGGCAACCACAGTGCCAGCTGTTTTCTGATATTTTGTGGCAAGCATTTATGTATCGCAGTATCTTAAGGAAGAAGGTTGAGAATGTGAAGGTTAAAAGGTGGGCTTTAAAAACTTAAGTATTGAGAGTAGAATGATTTTTGCATTTAAGTTAAATGGCAATTCTTAATTTGTTATGAAAAATGTGCAATGAGAAGTTGTACTATGTAAAATGTACATGTACATAGACCTCTACTTCATTATTGAATACTCCACACAACATAACAGGAGCATATTAGAAAAAAAGTACTTGCATATGAAATATGATAGTTTCTGCTTCTTTATTTCTTCATACTCTCCCCAGATACTGGTTATAGAAAATTTTTATGCAAAGCACTTCAGACAAATGCATAGAGCAAGCAAAAAAGTAAATTGCATTTAAAACCTCCTAGATTAGAGAGCCATCTCTTCTGTTAACTAATCCTAAAATCGACATTTGATCTTTATTTTTCCTTGACTAGAACAGGCACTAGGGCACCACAGACAGTGGTTGATTTGATCTTGAAGTCCATGAAAGTTCACGTTATCATAACAAAATAGTGACCACTGAACTGTTTTAAGGAATTTTAAATAAAACTAGTTTGGTCTAATTAAAAGATCAAAACTGGAATATAGAATTATTTTAGCAAATAATTTTCAAATATCTAGAACTATTTATCCAGTCAGTTTTATTCAGGTTTATTATTCACATCACTACTTTTAATTATTTATTCAGGATGCATAAATGCCTATGCACAGAAGAAATAACAAAATTTTATAGTTAATGCTGCTTGGAGGTTTAAGTCACCTGTATCCATCAAATAAAAGGCACTCACTTTACTTGCTAAACTGTGCTGTGGGACTGTAAGCATAGTAGATTCAAAAGATCACCCCTGTCAGCAAGCAGTAAGAACTATCAATAAGAAACCTTCTAAGGAAAAATAAAGCAATTGTGGAAAATTAAAACTCAAATGGGTCTATGGCTTTTCCTGTATTTCTATGAAGTTAACATCAAACCTGGAACGATGGGAGTCTTTCCTCAACTACATTACCCTGCAAATCTCTCCGTATATGAACAACTCAGAGCCTTCGTCCATGCCCTAGTGTGTATGTAATACGGGCACACATTATAGATAATGAATGACTTTTAGCAAGGGATATATATATATATATATATATAAGATCATACAAAATGATCTGAATGAAGAATTCAAAATTAATAATCCTAAAGCCATGATGTAAATAAGTGATGCATCAGAAGAAAAATGTTTTCTTGAGATCCTAGAGAAAGATGTTGTAACAGAGCTTACTCATCACTAATATAACAAGGGTATCATGCAGTTAGGAAGAATGATATGGAAAGGGAACCTATACCAGGACCACTCATTTCTACCTTAGGACAGAGAGGAGAGTGAGATTGCAGTGCTGAACAACACAGATGCTTCCCCAGCAAACCCATTAGGGAAACATAGGCAACTATGAATTAACAAGGTGATCGGGGTGGGTATTTGGTACAGAGGTTCAGACATTGCTTGGAATCCCCACATCCTGTATCAGAGTGCCTAAAATCAAGTCCCAGCTCTGATCCTGATTCCAGTGTCTTGTTAATGTGCACCCTGTGAGGCATTAGGTGATGTTACATTCCTTCTACCCATCTGGGAGATTTGGACTGAGTTCTCCACTCTTAGCTAGGGTGCAGACATAGCAGACATTTAGGGATTGAACCAGCAAATAGAGGATCTCTATCTCACTATCTTTCAAACTTGTAGGGAAAAAATAGGAAATATAAAATAGAAGCAGAAATATAAAATTGTGTTACAACTAAATAACAAAAGAAAATTTTAAAAACACAAAGTGAGCATATTTGATAGAATGACCTCAGCTGAAAAGAGTAATAGAATTCCAAACAAAATGGTAAAAATAAAAACCTCTTCTGTAGAGTTTATAGTTCATGTTGAGGTTAAATATCTTTGAGTAACAGAGAACATATATAGTACAAAAATATATACGAGGATCTAATTGCAATAAAGAAAATAAATAATATGACAAAATTCAAAGTAAAATACATTTGGGACTGGAATTTGAAATCCACACAGATTATTGTATAAATGACTTTATAAAAAACCTATTCCAATGTATAAATTAATTCAAAATCTTTACAAAATAAACACTTTTTTTGACAAATAGTTCTGCAGGAAATATTCTTAGAAAAGAAGGGGAAACTTCTTCATTTTGCTGTGTTTTCTTTGCTGTGCAGAAGCTACTTAGCTTGATGTAACCCCATTTGTCTACTTTTACTTTTATTGCCTGTGC